TATTCAACTGCTTCACCTCCTTCCACTGGATGATCGGCTAAGAACTCTGCCACTGCTCTTCCTTTGACTGACTTGCGTGTCACGTATTTCAGGTTGAATTAGGAGGGGCATGGCAAAGTATTTTCACATATGTATGCATGACTACTCTTCAGGGAGTGTAGTCCTCGATCCTCATGCCACCAATCACGCATATCGATGCATGATGGCCGAGGAGTTGATTTGCACGACTTGATATGAAATGAATGCACATATAAACACAACAACACCTAAACTCCATCATAGATAATCCGGAGTGTCGGTGACTAGGAATTGAGACACATACCGTCACTCGAAGTACGAAACGTCCCTCGTTTCCCGTGCTCAGGCTAACTCCTATCCCAAGCACAATGCAATATGCATGACATGCATGAATGCAACTAATATACAACCTAACATGCACAATGCTACGAAATGGCATACACGATGCACGACGTAACATGGCATACACAATGCGCTAACATGTAACCTAGCATACACAATGCTATGAAATGAAATGGCATACACAATGCACAATGGACTTATACCAACATGAATGGACCTCAGCCACACTCACATCAGAGGCCTTTGGATGAAAATGAGATACTCGAAATGCGTGCACACATGCACGCAAACCGAGGACCGAACCTAAGGCACGAATGCCACTCTACCAAAGCATGGCAAGGCATGGAACATGGTATGCAAACATGCAAATTTCAGCACTGAAATGTGATGCAAAATGGTCCCAAAACATGGAAACATGGTACCCGATGCATGAAATGAACCCCGAAACCCGAAACTAGGCATGTGGAATGACTTATAGCTATACAAAGCATGCATTATTTGATCATGAAGCATGAAGACAGATTCAAAACAGTCCCAAAACAAGCATATTTACAGTTTTAAGCAAGGCCAAACAATGGACACAAATAGGACTAAGCTAGCATGCAAAAATGGCCCCGTAAGAGAGGTAATGAAGCAAGTAGCAGCTGCTGGCCCTAAATGGCCAAGATGCCTTCAACAAAGTTAAAGAGGGGCTCAAAACATGGTACTTTACAGTTTACAACAAGCCATGAAAACAAACACAAGTATGGCTAAACTATTGTGCAAGAAATGGGCCAAAAGGGAGACAAAGAAGCAAGTGAGGGTTTCTGGCCTCAAACAGAGGAGGGCCCTTCAACAAAGTTGAAGAGGGGCCCAAAACATGGTATTTTACAGTTAGTGACCAAACCCAAAACAGTGCACATGCAAGCTTAAAATACTATGCAAAATAAGGTCTAAAAAGAGGTTTAAACACAAAGAGCAAAAAGGAAACTTCAAACAGTAAAGGTCCCTTGATCAAACATGAAGAGGGGGTAAAATAAGGCTATTTACAGTTTGGACCAAAGCCCGAAAATACAAGCAAAAGGGGCTAACAAAACATGCAAAAAAAAAGGCCAAAAGAGGGATAAAGAGGCAAGTGACAAAAGGAAGCCTCAAATAGTGAAGAACCCTTCAACAATGTTGAAGAAGGGCTCAAAATAAGCCACTTTATAGTTTATAACCAAGCTCAAAATAGTTTACAAATAGGCCTAAAATACTATGCAAGAAAGAGGCATACAAGAGAGGTAAAGAAGCAAGTGGTAGCTAGAGACCTTAAACATAGAAGGACCCTAAAACAAACATGAAAAAGACTTCAAAATAAATGCTATTTTCAGTTAGGGTCAGAGCCCAAAAATGGAAGCAAGTATGGCTTAGAAAGCATGCAAAATAAGCTCAAAAAGAGGGAAAGTATGGCTCACCCTTGTAGACCAAACTTCAACAGCCTCTTGGCTTGAGAAAAGGAGCTCCTTGCCTCTGGAAAACAGCTCCAAGTGGTTAGAATGGATGGTGGTGGTATGGTGCTAGGTGGTGGTGTAGAAATGGTGTAGGGTTTGAGAGATTTTGAGGGTTGGAGTGTAGAGAGAGAGAGATACAATGTGGGAGCCTCAAAGCAAATTTTGTAACCCTCTAGATGGGAGCTGGAGGTGCTGTTATATAGGCAAAAGAGGGGGGAGAAAAAGGGGGGAATGGAATTCAAGTTGGCCCCCCCCCGAATACACAATCTGGGAGGAAACAAAATACATATCTAGGTGGTGGTGTAGAAATGGTGTAGGGTTTGGGAGGTTTTGAGGGTTGGAGTGTAGGGAGAGAGAGATACAATGTGGGAGCCTTGAAGCAAATTTTGTAACCCTCAAAACACAGCTGGGGGCCCTAGATATATAGGCAAAAGAGGGGGAGAAAAAGGGGGGGGGAATGGAATTCAAGTTTCCCCCCAAAAGTTGGCCCCCCCCGAATACACAATCTGGGGGGAAACAAAATACATATTTGTAGTGTACCTGGAGAGAGGATCATGGCCGGCCGGTTTCCTAGGGTTTAGGTGGACGGTCGGCCTTCCCCATGGCCGGTCGGCCAAGGGTCAATGAAGATTAATGGCCGGCCATGCCAAAAAGAGGGCCTCTCATGTGTGCACAACACAACCATATGGTCAAAAACTGGAGAGAATGAACCAGGAGAGAGAAAATGCCACTTTTAGGAGGGGTTCAAAAGGGTCACACACAATTACTGGCCGGCCGTGTAATATTGGTGGCCTCCCAGGTGTGTACAACACAAATATGTGGTTTAGGGCTCGAAAAAGTGGCCTTAGGGTGGTCAACATTGGCTTTCAAGTGAGAAAAACGGGCGACGGAGGGCGATGGAGGAATAAAACTGGGTGTCAGAACAATTACTGGCCTCCCACCCTTCTACGACCTTCTTAGCAGTGAAACAGAGGTCCCTGCCAAAAATGAACTCAAACCGATGCAAAATGGAGGTTCAGGGGCCGAAACGCGCAGCCCGAGGCCCCGAAAACTGACTGTTAGGCATCGGAAGTGGTGTTCGCCACGAAGTTGGTCTCTCGAGCTACAGTGTCCCTCAAAAGGGAGCAAATAAGATGCATGCCAAAAAACGGAACAAACGGAGGTGGTTAAGCGGTCCCGAACCGAGGCACACGGCCAACGGCTCCGAAAAACTAGAAACCGGACTCCAAACGGGCAAAATGGCCTATGACCACGAAACGTAGCCTACAGCCACTGAGAGATGATCTACGAGACCTCTCCCTCCCTTCGGGAAGAGAAAATAGAGAAAACAGAGCCTGGTTCGCAAACCGAGGCAAAGCATGAAAGAGTCCGGAAGTCCGGAGGCAAGGCTCGCAGCCGAGACTCTAAAATCTCTGAACAAACATGATATGCAACATCACCAAGCGCTCAATCGGCGACGTCTGAGTCTTAAGGTCAGTCAAAAATGGGGTGTCTACAGTAGGGTTTGGTTTTGATTTCACTAAAAAAAAAAAAAAAAGGGTTAAAAATACATTATAAATGGAACCATTATTCACCATTGCAAGTGAATGATCATTCCATAGGGTGGTTAAGGAATGAGCATTCTATTTCATTTTAGCGAATCAAACATAGCATAAGACCTATTTTTGTCTCCATAGTTATACAATATTGCATTTTCCTTTTACCCATTAAAAAAAATAAAAATAAAAAAATAAAAGAGTAACTGACCTTTTCAGAAGGCCGCAAGCCTTCAATCTCAGAACCCTGGAGAAGTCATGGATTTTAACATGTCCACTGCGAAAAAGGACGAAAACAGAGAGATAAAGTGGTCTTGCATTGCCACCAATCAAAACGCTATTGATATAACATGAACTTAGATGTATTTTGACAAACTCAAAAAGAAAATAAAGCATTTTACTGTTGCAGAATTCAATTAGGACAACATTCATCATATTTAGATATACAGTATGAATCTTCAGTTTAGAAGCAATACAGTATATTATTGTGGTCACAATAACAAATAAATTGATCTCACATGTACTCAAATAATGTGTAAAACAAAACAAAAAAAACAGAAAATTCACAGCAACAGCAGGTTTATCCAGTACGACTAATGTACAACATACTGATGATGGAGAATAACCAGAAGCACTCATGATTAGCATCAATTCCAAACTTTCCGAGGATTTGACATATGTAGGAAAAATGAAAAGAAGCAATACCATATACTTTCAGATTAAACAATGGCATATCTAAAATGATTTGATGCAGCCACCAAAAGCCCACATTTGCATCATTTGCATGGATGCAGCATTAATTCAATGGAAGCATTTATTTTCTAAAATGACCTCAAATTTTTTAGAAAAAAATAAAATAAAAAATACACAAGATAGAACGAAGAGGAAAGAAAAGAAAGAGAAAGAAAACCCTCATCACTCATCCATGATTCAAACACCCTATCCAATAATCTTATGTTAGAGAATGAAGGAAAGTTGACAGCATTGCGCAACTTGCATGAGGTAGGCATGGTGGCATCTAACAGCCAGATGAACAACTCGAACAACTTCAATCAGTAGTATAATAATAATTGTTCCTTGCGAAGACAATCAAGGCATACATGACAAATAAATGTAAAATATGAACATCACCAAAATTAACAATTCACGCCAACATACCTGGAATCTGGATTCATGGAAAGAAATGTATCCAGGAAGTCCATAGCTTCCAAACTGCTTAAATGGAATGTCTGGCAAACAAGAGAGGTAAATCCAATTCCACATTCCTTTCAGTTGGGTAATTACTATGAAATTGGAGGTAATCCATTCACAATGAACTAGAATACTGTATACAAAGAGATGAATTTGATTCAGAGGATCAATACAAAGCCTTTCATTGCACATCAGATTACAAAAGAATTATTGCCTTTTATCTTTTCAGAAATATTTAAGATAATTTGTGGTCATCAAATTATGTGAAACTTTTCCCCGCCCCTGATAAATAAGGTGGTTCTTTATTACAACCCAAGAAACCCCCAACAGAGAGGAGGCATTTATTTTTGCAGAGAATAAATAACAAGATTTTTAGCTTCAAACCCAAGACATAATTAATACACTTTAGGACCCTACTTATATAGTTATACATTGATGCTTGTTTCAAAACTGACATCTCAACAGTTATTCTCTCGTTTTTTAAAAGATAGCTTGAAGGTAAGGAACCACACAGTATGCGTTCGGGTCTTACATGAGCACCCAAAAATTCTTCAAAAGCCAATGTTTATAAGTCCATAAATCTTGTTACTATCATTCCAACCAAAAGATACAACATCATGTTCCTTTTATTTTTTTTCTTCAAATTTTGCATTCTACATAATATATATATATATGACCAAAAAAGAAAGAAAAAGAATAAAAATAAATACTTCAGGTAAGGTAATGCCTATTGTGCAAAAGCATATCATAAAGTCTTTAAAGGTTAGACACAGTCAGTGCAATGAGCAACAAAGTTTCTGTCCTAAAAACAATGTGAATATTGAAATATATAGACCATGTAGTACAATACTCCTTAATATGTACCATTGTCACTAACCAGGTCCATCCAAAAAGCAGTTACATTAACTTGTGCAAGAGACACAATTAAGCATTCAAGAAATAAAGCATCCCTCTCTCTCAGCTCGAGGAGAATGGGCAGTAAGCTATGTAGTTGTGACATTGTCCTCTATGGTTTTAGGGTTCACATTGTATCTTGTAGATTGCTATAGTTTCTGGAATCCATAAAAAGAACTCATATTCCAGAATATCACTTTTACCATATACAACAATACAGAGATATGAATCAAATAATAGTTTATGCACATTATAACACAATAAATATATCAGTATCAATCATTCAATTATAAACTCACTGATTCCACCTTTTTCATTTCAATCATATAAAGTGTAGGATTTTCCTGCAAAGCATACCAAGCAATGCCAAAAATTAGGACCCCAAAGTAGACAATATCTGTTTTGTCCAGGCAAGATTTAATGGAAAAATTTTTAAGGCTCCAGCTTTAGATTGCAGGGCTAAACAAAGAAAGTTCAAGTTCTATGTATCAACCTAATTTGGAAGCAAGTTGAACCTGGCAAACCAGTGTCCACATAATCTAAGATGCAGAGCACAAAGAATGTATACTCTTCCCACAAAAGTACTACTTTGAAACTTGTATACAGGTTTTTTTCTTCTTCCATGTACCGTAATTGACAATTCATTGTTTACTAGAAAAATAGAGTAGGAATTTACATTAAAGTTGTACTGAATTTACATTAAAGTTGTACTGTATTTACGTTGTCAAGATCTCTTTTGAACCCTAGCTTAGATGGAGAGATCTCCTTGCTGGAAATTGAAGGAATACAAGACCATTCACAAGCACATTACTTTCTCATTACTGCTCTACTTCATTTTTCACCTCTTTTATTTTTTCAAAATATTCTGAGATCCTAGCACTATTTACTTGTCACTAACATATATTTGTCATTAATATGAAGACCACTGCAACTTCCATTTTTATCTACCACATCAATTTTCAAGGTTCATGGCCACAAAGGGCCTCAAATTAAGTTAGATCTGAAATCAAGTGCTTTATAACATGTTTGAATTTAGTACTAGATCATTAGTGCAGACCTACTAGCAAGATAAACTGTGAAAGACATGACACACGAAGCAAGAAAAGTGCACCTGTTTGGACTCAGCAGCTTTTGCAAACAGCATGAAGTCCCCATACACATGACCTGTTTGTACGACATTAAGAGCAGTAACGATAACATGGCCAGTCTGAAACATATCCATCAGGCATGAAGTGATAGATTAAATTCAATAATCTATATAAACAACTCAAAGAGAATGATATATACTTCAGGCAGCTCATGTGGCATACCAAGAAATATCCAAAATGGAGTGCAGCTGTTAGATAATCATCATATTAACAAATCAAGGATTTCTCTACATTTACCCACATTACAAAGAAAAAATTCTAAGAACCAAGACAGTGCACCAACTGCCACTAAAAGCATGCATGAGAGAGAGAGAGAGAGAGCAAACTATAAGACTAACCGCAAAAAAATGTTCCTTCAATTGTAAGAAATTAAATTACACACATACAAGACATAAAGGTTGTCGATTATGCAGTTACATCCAATTTAATTGGTACCGTATGGCATTCATTTGGAACCAAATAACAAGGCAAGGAGCAAACAACTCATGAATGAAAAGATTTTGACACAGATTTATCATTAAAAAACATAAATAAATGTAACTGTATATCCGAAGTCAAGAAATGAGAAATTAGCTGATTCTTTGTGCACAGATGCAGCAAAGACAGACTTCCCATTTCCTGGGTTAATAAGACCAAGTGCAATAGAAATATACCACGTAAACACAATTACAATAAATAAGATGTGTTAAAACATGCACAGGTTTTGCATTGCTTTCGAGACAAGCATATGAAATACAAAAGATGTTAACAATGTATAGAACCAACAAAAAATTGTATGCAATTTAATTGCATGCAAAGAAACTTTGATGTATAAGCATTGTAAGCTTTCTGTATTTCTGTATATTCAATTGTATATTTGATTATAACCAGACCTTAGATTATATAGCCCTAACTCCTAAACCAAAAAGGAGAATGCAATCATGCGTCTAATAGGACTCTAATACAATCACTCCTCTAATCGGATTCTAATATGTACGATCACAATCATGCCTAATTTGTAAGATTCACAATTGTGAGAATAAAACTGACTTGACTGAGAATCTAACTGAAAAGATGAAGGTGCAACAGGGGAGGTAGACTGAGGAAGATGCAAGCTTTCCACCACATAGTGATCTCCAACTCTACGGCCGGTCCCAATCTGCTTCTTGGATACGTGATCCTGTACACAACAAATAGAAGAAAAAAAGATAACATCAAAACCAGAAGCATCAAGCTAACTGATAGAAGGCAAGCTAACAGACAATTGAGGAACATAAAAAATAAAGGGAATAGTAACAACAGATATAGCAGAAGGTAAAACAGACCCAATAGATAGGACAGACATACCAGACCCATTGGTAGTATTGATAGTAATAGGAAAGGAAGTGGGGGATACAGTTTTGGAGTAAGGAAATGTGAGGAGTCATATGATAAGAGGCACCAGAATCAAAAAGCCAGACAGAGGAAGGAATACCTAAAGAGGACCCAAGCAAACATGAATGAGGAGAGGTAAGAGCAGAGGTAGATGAAGATAACTGAGAGGTGGACCAGAGATGCTGAAGCTGAGCAATTTGAGCACTCAAGAAAGCCAAATCAGGATCAGAAGCCGGGATAGAGGCAGTATAAGCAGCAGGAGGGCGAAAAATACTCAGAACAAGACTTTGGGACTGTGGCTGAGGTAGCTGAGAAGACTGAGCAGACTGACGGCCCTTCTTGGGGTAGTTGTACTTCCAATGGCCTTTTTGATGACAAAAAGCACACTTATCAGAGACTAGTGGCCCTTCTTGGGCTTTCATTGGCCTGAAGCTATTGAGGTGGGAGGTTCGGTAGCAGAGGAGACGGAGTAGGAGCCAAGAAGACAGATGGAGACAGAGTTTAACTGGCCATCTTAAGATGGGTTTCCTCGGAGAGGAGCTCACGAACAATAGCATCCATAGAGGGGAGAAGAGACCGATGAAGGATGCCACCATGGATAGCCTCATACTGAGGGGAGAGAGCCGTTAAGAATTGCACTAAATGACCTTGCTTTCGAAACTCAACATAAGCGTCAAGTGTCTTAAGGCTAGATGGTTCCATGAGAGCCAGCTGATCCCAGAAGCCTGTCATCTCAATGTAGAAGTCTTGAATAGACAGATCCCCCTGACGAGCTCCCTAAATAGCTATTTCCAACTCATACCATTTGGCAAAGTTGGACTGCTGATAAACATTTTGTAAGTAACTAGGTCAAAACTTGAGCATTATCACAATCCTAAGTGTCACAGGAACTCAGATAGTCTTCTTGTTTGGGATCCGATGGACGAGGAACAGAACCAGAAGTGTATCTCCATTTTTTTCGACCGAGATGAAAATTTCTCATAACACTAGACCAATAAGCATAGTTGTCACTTGTAAGCCTGCATTTAATAGCTTGGATTTTAACTTTCGACATTGTAATGAACCAGAAATAAAAGAAAAAAGAACTGATGGGACACAGTGATAAAATCCAATAAAGTTGAGGGGTCAACTTGTAATAATCCAAAGTTGAAACAGAGAGGTCAAGGTGGGTTGAAATCAGAACATAGAACAAAACCGGAGATAGAGAGAGCAAAACGAAGAGCAAAGACCAGAGAGAGAGAGCCAACGCAGAGGTCTCGAGAGAGTGAGAGAGATCCCTCAAGCCCAAACTAGACTTGTGACTTCAGACCCAACAAGAGAAGGCAATCGCGATTTCGGCAAAGACAGAGAGGGCTGTCGCGACTTTAGAGAAAAATGTCACGACCCAGCAAGACCTTCGTGGCTTCGGAGAGGGCTGTCGTGACTATCACGACCCAGAGAGGGTTGGCTTCGATCGACCCAAAAAGACCCAACAAGAAAGAACGAAGAACTTCGAATGATCAAGGCCAGACCTAGGGTTTCGGATGTGGCTCTAATACCATGTAAGCTTTTTGTATTTCTGTATATTCAATTGTATATTTGATTACAACTAGACCTTAGATTATATAGCCCTAACTCCTAAACCAAAAAGGAGAATATAATCACTCCTCTAATAGGACTCTAATAAGTACAACCACAATCATGCCTAATTTGAAAGATTCACAATGTATTCTCACAGATCTTAATATCAAAATAAACCAATGAAGCAGCAAGAATAAACAAAATAGTGCAGACTCACCCTTTTAGCAAAATGGATAGCATTTTCCTTTTGATTTTCAAGGGGTGAAACAACAGGAATATACTCCACCTGTACAATTTAACAAATAACCTCAATCAATTTATTACCAACATACAATACAAGTAATGCAGTACCAAAAAATTCCAATTAAATAGGTATGGTTGCCTTGTTTGTATGCATGTATATCTAAGCTGATGCGTAATAAGTATTGTCTGTTGCGGTCTATAAAATATACATGCACATGTAAGGTCAAGATACAAATTCTAAGACAATATCTGTTGTATGATGTAAAAGTAGTGTAGTGTTCTTTCCACGATCTTGTTGCAGTAGTAGATGATTAACAAATAAACACAATGGCTGTTACAAGTCAAAACACTGTTATTATACTGCCCGTAAGTCACCCAAAGCAGAAATTGGCTCATTGACTTCAATTCTCTGAGACACTTTGTTCTCCCATTAAAACTATTCAACTTTATGTTAACTCCAGCCCACATGGAGTAGTTGGAGGTTGGCTCTCCAAGTCAAGGAAGAAGGAAGTTGGCAATTGGCAGTTTGGCAATCCCATAACTCCCTTCACTTGACTTTGTTCCCTCTCTTTTATGTATAAATAGAAGCTGAGAGGAAGAGAAGAAAAACACACAGACATAGGCATCAAACATAGAGTGTATAATCTGTGTAAGAGAGTGAGAGTGCTAGAGAGAGAGAATGAGGTGTGAGTGTTCTAAACTCCCTCCGAGAAAAATTCTACAGTAGATATCTCTCTCGTGGACGTAGGCAATTGTCGAACCACGTAAATCTCTTGTGTGATTGCGTGTGATTGATTTTTGGGTGTGCCTTGATCCTAACAAGTGGTATCAGAGCCGCGTTGGTCGATTTTCGAAAAAACAGGGTGTTTTTCAAAACTGCCCATAAATCAAGTTGCTCGAAATTCAATTTTGAGCATATTGGAAGGAAGCTCTCGACGAGAGGAGTTCAAAACTGCAAAGCCGAGCCCAAGAAGAGGCCCCACGCGCCCTCTTAAGAAAAAGCGTGAGGCCCACTCACAGACATGCTCCACATTCGCCGTTGACAACCCAGCGCGTCATCCCAGTTGCAAACACGCACCCGACGCATACCGGAAGGAAGGAGAGTGGTTCGCATGTGTGCGTGACGTCACCACCACGCCACACGCGATCTAGGCAGTCCACGTAAGCGCCACGTGCCAACCACGTCAGCTCGCGTGTCAGCCACGTCATCGCCATATGTTGCCACGTCAATGCCACATCAGCCCAGTCAACCCACTAGTTTGACACGACCCGATCCAAGAGCGGGGGTTATCCAGTGCAGCGTGGCTAAGGTACATCTGCAAATTTAAACCATCGAACTTATTTTGGCTAGATCTGAGCCATTTGAGTCCAATTTTGGCGATCCAATTGTAGTTTTTAACTATTTGGAGTATTCTAAAGACATTCATACGGTCAGATTTTTAATTTGGATTTTTCTGTAAAAAGAAAGTAGACGATGGAGGAATCCACATCAACTTCAGGATCCATGATCAAGTTAAATCCTTCCAATTATGCAATCTGGAAGTCGCGGATGGAAGACATCCTATATTATAAAGACCTATTTGACCCTATTGTTCTAAAAAGGGTTAAACCAGAAGAAGTGAAGGATGAAGACTGGATAAAGATGAACCGGAAGGCTGTCAATTGTATCAGACAATGGATAGACCACAATGTGTTCTACCATGTCGACCAGGAGACAAATGCATATGCCCTTTGGATAATGCTAAAAGGAATGTACTAGTCAAAGACCACCCAGAACAAAGCCTTGGTGATGAGAAGGCTTGTGAATTTGAAGTTGAAGAATGGTGTGTCTGTCGCCAAGCACACCAGTGAATTCAAGAATCTGGTGAATCAACTTGCAACCGTCAAGATGCTCTTGGATGATGAAATGCAAGCCGTACTACTGCTCAATTCTTTACCGAATAGCTGGGAGACGTTGGTGGTTTCTCTCAACAACTTTGCACCAAAGGGGAAGCTGACCATGAACATGGTCATAGACGCCATGTACAATGAAGAGACAAGGAGGAAAGACATGGGAGGTAATTAGTCCCATGCTCTTGTCATAGAAGATAGAAGCAGAGACAGAGGTAGAGGAAGAGGGAGAGGAAGAAACAAGAGTAGAGGTAGATGGAGCAACAGGGATAAATCCATAGACAGTAAAAGTCAAGGTAACTTTAGCTTCACTTTCTTTCACTGTGGCTAGGAGGGTCACATAAAGAGGAACTGCGCAAACCAGAAAGATAAAGGCCAAAGCAGTAAGCCAAAAGGAGCTGAGAACACGACACCCACAACAACTGATGAAATACTTCTTGTAGTTGGTGAAGAGGGGGATTGCCTTCACGTTGTTGACCACAGTTGTACAGAGTAGGTGATAGACATAACTGCATCCTATCACGCCACTTCCCACAGAGAACTCTTCAGCTCGTACAACGCTGGAGATTTTGGCACTATTTGAATGGAAAATTCTAGCTATTCAAAGATTGTGGGTATTGGAGACATTAGTATTCAGACTAATGTCGAACACAAGCTGGTTCTCAAAGATATGAGGCATGTTTCAGATTTGCACTTCAATCTTATCTCCGGAAGCGCCCTGGACCGACAGGGCTATACAAGTACATTTGGAAATGGCCGTTGGAAGCTGACAGGATGAGCTTTGACAATCGCCAGATGAGAGATGTCTTCAACACTGTACAAGACTCAAATGAAGATCTGTCTGGAAAATCTTAATGCAATAGAAGACAAGGAGTCACCAGACTTATGGCACAAAAGACTGGCTCACATGAGTGAGAAGAGATTGTATCTGTTGGCAAAGCAATCCAAGATACCTTTATCTAAAAGGAGTGCCCTGAAGCTGTGTGATCATTGCCTTTATGGCAAGCAGCATCGAGTATCATTTAGTTCAACGAGCAAAAGGAAAACAGACGTGCTTAATATGGTATACTCGGATGTTTGTGGCCCAATCGAAGTTGAGTCACTTGGCGGCCGCAAGTATTTTCTGACCTTCATTGATGATGCATCAAGGAAGTTGTGGGTGTATTTCTTGAAGATGAAGGATGAGGTATTCCAGTACTTTCAGGAGTTCCATGCAATGGTGGAAAGAGAGACCGAGAAGAAGTTGAAGTGTCTTCGCACAAACAATGGTGGCGAGTACACTTTCAATGCTTTTGAAGCATATTGTGCTAGCAGAGGTTATCTGGCACGAGACAACAGTTTCCGGTACCCCACAACACAATGGTGTGGCAGAAAGGATGAACCGCACTATTGTTGAAAGAGTCAGATGTATGCTCAAAATGGCAAAGTTGCCAAAGTCATTCTGGGTTGAAGCCGCCCGTACATCCTATTATCTTATCAACATGTCGCCTTCAGTCCCGTTGAACTTTACGATACCCGAGAAAGTTTGGTCTAAAAGAAAGGTATCATATTCTCACTTGAGAGACTTCGGGTGTAAGGTGTTCGCATACATCTCCAAGGAAAACAGACAAAAGTTGGATGACAAGTCCACTCCATGCATATTTGTGGGCTATTCAGATATAGCATTTGGGTACAAGTTGTGGGACCCAGTGAACAAGAAGATGTTCAAAAGCAGAGATGTTGTGTTCCAAGAAGACCAGACAGTAACAGATTTTGAGAAGTCTGCAAAGTCTAGAGATGTCATCACTCCAGACTTGTTCCTGTCTCCCGAGCCATCACAAAATGCTAAATGTGATGATGTGCAACAAGAAGTGCCAAAGTTACAGGATCATATGCCAGAAATTGAGGATTAGGAGGAAAGAGATGAAGACCCGGATGAAGAGGGTGTTGAGCAAGGGGAACAACCCCCTCAACCAGAGACAACTGGGCCTCAATTGCGGAGATCTGGAAGAGCTTCCGTGCCATCAACCAAATATCTTGCTTCTAAATATATTCTAATTACTAATGAAAGGGAGCCTGAAAGTTTTTCGAAAGCAAAGAGTCATATAGAGAAAGATTGTTGGATGCAAGCCATGAAAGAGGAGACAAGTTCTTTGCAGAAGAACCACACTTATGAGTTTGTTTCACTTCCAAAGGGCAGGAAGGCATTGAAAAACAAATGGATTTACAAATTGAAGAAAGATAGCAACAGTAAAATATTGCAGCATAAAGCTCGCTTGGTGCTCAAAGGTTTTGGACAGAAGAAAGGAATTGACTTTGATGAGATCTTCTCCGTAGTTGTGAAGATGACTTCCATTCGAGTAGCTTTGAGATTAGCAGCTCGCTTGAATCTGGAGGTAGAACAGATAAATGTCAAAATTACCTTTCTCCATGGTGATTTGGAGGAAGAGATCTATATGGAGCAACCAGAAGGATTTGAAATTAAAGGGAAATAGAATCTAGTCTGCAAATTGAAGAAGAGTCTCTATGGCCTGAAGCAGTTGCCGAAACAATGGTACAAGAAGTTTGATTCATTCATTGTGGATCACGAGTGCACAAGAACGGTAGCAGACCAGTGTGTATATTTCCTAAGGTTTTTAGATGGAATCTTCATCATCTTACTGCTGTATGTCGATGATATGCTGATCATCGGACATGATATTGCTACGATCAACAAGTTGAAAAAAGACTTGTTGCAGTATTTTGACATAAAGAATTTAGGCCTAGCACAGCAGATTTTGGGCATGAAGATTGTTCGTGATAGGAAAGCCAATAAGATATGGCTGTCATAGAAGAAATATGTTGAATAGGTGATTGAAAGGTTCAACATGAAATATGCCAAGCCAGTCAGCACACCACTGGCCAACCATTTCAAGGTGACAGCGTTTGTGTCCCACGACCAGCTCTGAACGGAAAGAAATGGAGACAATCCCTTATTTTTCCGCAGTAGGGAGTTTGATGTATGCAATGGTGTGTACCCAACCAGATATAGCTCATGCAGTTGGCGTTGTGAGCAGATTCCTCACCCAACCAAGAAAGGAGCATTGGAAGACAGTCAAATGGATTCTTCGTTACTTAAAGGGAACTTTAAAGACATGTCTATGTTTCGGGGGAGTTGAACCAATTTTAGAGGGTTTTACAGATGCCGATATGGCGGGTGATCTTGATGGTAGAAAGTCTACATCAAGATTTCTATTCACTTTTGCAAGGGGAGCTATTTCATGGCAGTCTAACTACAAAAGTGTGTTGCTTTATCTACAACAGAGGCAGAGTATATTGCTGCCGCAGATGCTGGAAAGGAAATGTTGTGGTTAAAGCGGTTTCTCCAAGAATGGGGTCCATAACAAGAAGAGTACAAGGTACATTGTGATAGTCGGAGTGCAATTGATCTGAGCAAGAATTCCATGTACCATTCCCGCACAAAGCACATTGATACCACAAAGCACATTGATATCCGATATCATTGGATATGAGAAGTGATGGAAAAGTAGCTGATGAAGCTGGTGAAGATTCACACGACCAAGGTTGTCACTAGAGACAAACTAGAAGTTTGCAAGAATCTGTCGGGATGGACTTCAAGTAAGAAGTCAGTTATCCATATGGGTGTGGAGGGGGAGAATTGTTAACTCCAGCCCACATGGAGTAGTTGGAGGTTGGTTGATTGGCTCTTCAAGTCAAGAAGGAAGAGGGAAGTTGGCAGTTGGCAGTTTGGTAACCCAATAACTCCCTTCACTTGACTTTGTTCCCTCTCTTTTATGTATAAATAGAGGCTGAGAGGAAGAGAAGAAAAACACTCAGACAAAGGCATCAAAGACAGAGTGTATAATCTGTGTAAGAGAGTGAGAGTGCTATAGAAAGAGTGAAGTGTGAGGGTTGTAAACTCCCTCCGGAAAAAATTCTATAGTGGATATCTCTCTCGTGGACGTAGGCAATTGCCGAACCACGTAAATCTCTTGTGTGATTGTGTGTATGATTGATTTCTGGGTGTGCCTTGATCCTAACACTTTATATTATGGAATGGCATGTTCTGTTCTTGGCGTGGAAAATGTCATTTGCAGTATGAATGTCTTTTGAAGACAATAGCTACGCCAGGTATAACAAATTTGAGAGAGAGAGAGAGAGACCACTTACGTGCACACAGGAAACTCTATTATGTTAGTTTGTTTCAATAGTGAATAACCATTTGATTTCAAAGAAATGAATTAGACTGAGGAGATTCTATCCGATGGATGACATTTCAGCCAATTTAATGTTTTAACTCTTTTTACTCTAGAGGGTCATAAGAGATCTTCTTTTCCTTGGAAAGAGGTGTGGGCTACAAAGGCCCATCCAACATAGCTTTCTTTGTGTGGTGTGCGATGTATGAAAGATACTTACTATTGATTATTCGATTAGAAGGCAAGAACATTTTAATTGGTGTTGTATATGTAAGCTTGATGGATGAGTCACTAAGCCATCTTATTTATTATGAAGTGGTGTGGTATTTATGGTCTTTGATCCTCATGTTTGGTGTGAAATGGATGTTCCCTCTGAGGGTGGAGGAGCTTCTTTGTTCATGGACAGGTCAAAGGAGCTTGAGTGAGAGGAGGAAGAAGACTTGGTGTTTGGTTCCTATAGAATTAATGTGGTAAGTAAGGGAGGAACGGAATAGAAGAACTTTTGAAGGAAGGGAAGAGCTATTTTGAGCATCAAGACTAGAATATTGTCTTTTTTTGTATAGTTAATTTCAGTGATGGTCAATCCATCCTTGAACCAACTTTTTTACTTTGTAGAGGCCTTTGAATAGGCTTTATATGTATCGATGAGATAGGTATTCCTTTGCATACAGGTTGCACTCCCTTGGTGCCTCTCTAAATCTTTATTAATAATATTTCCTCACTTACCAATATATATATATATATATACATAACTTATTAACATGACAAAGAAATATAAGGAAAAACACGAAGAGAATCATATGGGCATTTTTTCGATTTTTTTTTCTTTTTATAATTTCATATGCTTACTAATTTTCCAAAAAAAATATGGCAAATTGGGGCATTACTATAAATGATTTGCCACCTCAGACCTTATTATACAGAAATCTAACAAGAAAACAAATACACGCTAAACTACATTTTCAAAATATGCAACTACAGAAAAATACATAAATTAATCACTCAGCCACAGAGGCAATGGGGGACTCCTTCAGCTACAATATACCTCCATGAAATTGTGAAACTGCATGAACATTCTAAACATGAGCATCGCCAAAGTAACATTTCCCCTACACAAAATGGCAGGCCATACAAAGCAGTTTGATAAGATATTTCAAAAGATTAAACCAAATTGGATTCAAGTAAAGAAAACTCCTACCAGGATTGGTCGAAGTATACATGGGGATAGCGAACAATCACTGGCTGGACAAGATATCCAGGGATAAATGCACCAAGTTGGAAAGAAATGAGAGGTATTCCATTGGCTGTTGTTCCCTCGAGAAATAAAAGCACATGAAGAAATCTATTGGAAGAAACCTTTCTCTGTATTCAGATCCTTGAAAGTACATTTCTGTATCAAATAGCTAATATATTGTATAGAAACATAGAAAACGAAGACACAATCAATAGAATTCAAACATTCTACTCCGATCAAGTCTCTTCCATGCCATCAACCATGATTTAGTGGCTGTCTTGTATATATGTAACTATGAACCATCAAATTTAGTTGCAATTTACCTATATATTCCATTTACAACATGTTTTTGCATGCTTCCCACAAAAAAATAAAAATAAAAATAAAATAAAAAAAATAAAATTAAAAAAAAAAATATTGAGGAAGCATAGTGCTGCAAAATATACATCAGGATATAATATTGCAGTATTATTCTTGGACCATATCCAATGACATAGATACATAGATAGATTGAAGTTGCAATGAGCAAAATGCTGCACTCAATATAAAGCACATTATTGCTTGAGCAAGGCCAAAATACTTCAGTGGCAGCAACAATTTTACAGTTAGACATACAAAATATATGGAAATGACTATGATCATAAATATGTAGATATATGTATGCTGCACAATTGCAAGTTGTTGTTTACTTCTGAGGCGAAGCACGCTTGATTCTCCCTTCTGGGGGTCCGATAAACAGATCAGTCTCTACGTCTGAAATCTCACTGCTTTCTGTGTATGGCACAACTTCTCTCTCTTCGTTTGATTCTTGTCGCAGTAATAAGCCATACTAGAAAAAATATATACACGTCTATAAGACTGATGCGGTTGCAAAATTTACACTTAATTTGTTTTGTCAAAAACTTCAAAAAACATTTTCTTATATTTAAATGCGACTCTAAAAAATGTGTTAGTGGTTTTGCCATACCATATGATCACAACCTTGGAATATAGTAAAACCGCAAATTATAAAGCAAACCAATTCACATTATAATCCTAGAAGAGATATTGCAATATAAAAATAAACATATCGTATAATTAAATCACATCGCGTTGCATGTAAAGTACAAACAACAAACAATCAAAATTTGGGTAATCACAAAATAATAAAGATCATATTTAGCATTAAACTAAAAAAAAAAAACTCAAGAAATATTTCAAAAATTAATAAGGTAACAACAATAGAAATAAAGCCCAAAAGGGGGAAAGAGAGAATCACCTTCTCACAGAGCTTTGCATTTTCAGCTGTTAGGACTTTCTCCTAAATTAAATTGAAGCCAAAAGACATACAGCATCAGCAATTAGTGAGATAATTTAAGTAAAATGGTATTTACAAACTAAAGTCAAATTTTTAAATAATTATTTTATATTTTTAGGGTAAATGGTATTTACAAACTAATATAGAGCATGCTATCCATAAAATGGAAGTCTTATGGAATTTAGTAGCTTGACTATTTATGCATATTTGTTGGGTGCATATCCGACTAGAAATGTCATCGGACACATAATCAGCTCATACAAAGGTGGTATTTCAAAATTTTGAAGCAGTTGTAAAAAATGACTTTAGTGGAAAAACGTGCTACACTCAACCTAATATCACAAATTTTAATAGTTTACCTTTTCCTTAAGTTGATCAATCTGTTCCATGAAAGCCTCCATCTGAAGCACAGACAATAATCAAAGAAATTAGACTTCCAAGTAATTACAAAATTTTAGGAAATAATTACATTTTGTACTACATAATAATAACAACCTTTTTAGCCCGGACTCTGCTTACACTCCGCTCCAACTGTTGTTCAATTTGCTGCAGTTCTTCCATGGTGCATGACCCCAGATCCTCTCCCAAGAGTTTCCTAATACATATTTTCCAATTTCAGAGTTTAGAAGTGCTTCAAATTTAAAATAAAAAAATAAAAAAAGTTTATATGTTTAGTGTGCCAAACAAATTCGAACTAGCTGGGCCTTCCATCCAACCTTTTCGCAACTTCAAGAAGCTCTATCTGGTTTGCCATGTCTGCTGCCTCGTGCTTCAAATGCTGCCAGTCCGAATCAATAATTGCCAGAAAATTAAGTTAGTAAGGCTTTAATAGTTAACATAAGGTTTCATCTTCCGATAAAAAGAAAAAAAGAAGATTAATTGGTTCCCACAAGAGGATGGACAAAAAGGAGAGAGAGAGAGTTGCTTCATTAATAATGCTCTACCAAAGGGAGGATAGAACAAACGAACAAACACAACATGAAAACATTTGTTAGCTACAAAACAATTTGTTGGACAGTGGAAGCGTTACATAAAAAAAATGTTAGCGCACATAAGAATCAATGGAGATATATGGCTATAGAAATCGAGCAGAGCTCCTTTGAGAAATCAGAATAACTCTTGCTTCATATGACATTCTAGATATATATTTCAGAATCACACTCTTAAAAGAACTTTTCATATTCGTATGCAATTTTATTAACTACTTACATGCATTTTACTAACATCTAAATGTACCATAAAACTTTTAGAAGATTGTCGATTATTTTTTCCAACATAAAATCAGCTTTCCCCAGGGAAGGCAGCAAAAATGCCTTAATAGAATGACACCAGCCATGTGATTTGATGAATATGGAGCGACAAAATTAAGCTATATATATGTGTCTTAATATAAGTACTGAAGTTACATGAAGTAAAAATAGATGAATAAATAAATAAAATTATTCCAGTTAATTATCTAAAATTGTCGACAATTGTGAAGAGAAGTTAGTATAATCACAGAGAGAGAGAGAGAGAGAGAGAGAGAGAGAGGGGGGGGTATAACCTGCATGTTTTCTTCCACTGATGAGTTGTCAGTTTGAACAGCTTTTGTATGCCTCTGATAGCGCTGTATCGTCTCCTGCGTGCTGAGTAATTTCGAAATTGAACACAACACGAATGAAGTCACTCCATTGTCCCTTTTTACCCTCAATTATCAAATAACAAAAAGAATTAACTCAAAAGAGTCAAAACCATAAGGATGATAATAAAGATGAAAATAATATATATATATATATATATATATTTTTGATGAATATGCCGTTAAAGAAATGGCCAATGCAGCATAATGCCAATAACCAAGTCATTGAATTACTCAGTTTTTATGAATTTGAGAATGTTTCTTCAATCAAATTTGTCATGCCATTCGAAGTGTTATGCAAAAAATAAAAGGTTCCAATTAAAAAACAATAAACAGAAACAAATAATTACACTAAATACAAGATAAATGTGGTTTGGCAATGTGTCTAAGTCTACAAAGGGGAGGAGATCAAATCCACTATGCATAATAAAGATTACAGAAATTTGAATCTCACTTCTATCACTCTACAGTGCTGTCACAATCTCACACTAAATGATAGGAAAGAGGAATGAGAGGAGGGTGGATACCGGTTGTTAGGGATAGGGGCAGATCAGGACCTTGGAGGTTGGAAGGAAGTGAGGGTATTTTTAATGTGTTCGTGGATAACCTACCAGCATCCTTGAACCCAAAAGGCCTATATAATCTATTTGCAAAGTTTGGAGTGGTAATCGATGTCTTTATACCACAGAAGAGGCGTAGGATGACTAACACAAGGTTTGGATTCGTGAGGTTTGGTTGTTCTGTGGCAGCTAACATAGCTGTCCAGAAAGCACATGGGTTATGGGTGGATGATCGAACTTTACAGGTCAAACATGCAGAGTATGGGAAGGATATGGGCAGGGGTGAAGCTGAAAAGAAGCCATTACGGAATCAACTACGGGGATCAATAGTATACGCTGATAAAGAGAAAGATGTACTTCATGGGTGTAGTGGCCTTAGAGATAGACGGTCATATGTTGATGCAGTGGTCGGCAAAAGGGGAGAAAGAGGAGAGGGTATCTTGGTGAAGGCAGAAGAGATAGGGAATGGTTGGCTGTTTGAGAGTATAATAATCAGATTGAAGGTACCATATGCTAATATTAGTTTAAAGAAAGAGATAGCAGCGATTGGTGTGGAGGATGTAATGGTAAGAGAAAGTGGGGGAAGGGATGTTGTTATAACATTCAACTCAAAGGAGGAAAGGGCACTGAAATTTCCAGCTATTAAGGAACTGATTGGTGATTGGTATGAAGAAATGTCTGAAGGAAAACCAGGGCAGGTGTTGGAGCAGGAAAGAAGCGTATGGATCAGTTGTTATGGCATCCCATTACATTTGTGGAATAGTCACAACATAACAAAGATAGGTGAGGTATGGGGGAAAGTGTTATGTTTTGAAGGAGATATGAGTGAACCAGTGACATTTGTGTGTGCAAAGGTGAAGATTTCTACCAAAAGCATGGAATCCATAAATTCGGTTGTAAATCTGGAATGCAGGGGGGGTCTTTCCAGTAAGGGTGTGTGAAGAGCAGGTGATCAACCTCAAATCAGGAAAATGTCCTTGCAGGTGTCATAAAGTTCAACATGAGGTGGAGATTGGCAGTTCGAATGTCATGGATGATCATACCAGGAATGAGGAAGATGAAGATGCTGACGGGGAGGATGATTCAGCAGATGATATGGCGAATGGCTGTGATGTGGACCGTGTAGGTACGCCAAATGGCGAAAATCGGAGTGAGGAAGTGAACAACAGGGAAGGTCGGAGAAGTATAGAGGAAGATATAGCTGGTAGATGTGTAGGGGCTAACATAGAGGCTGCTGTGGACTGTAGCGCAATGATGGATGTGCGAAAACAGAGGAACGGCTCTTCGGAGGAGACGGTAGTTAGTCAGAGTAAGGTTGAGCTGGTTAGTACGCAAGGTTTTGTTAGAAGTATAGACAGACCTAGTATAGAAGGGCCGGGGGTAAATATTGAAGTTATGTTGGGCCAGATTAATTCACCAAATCAAGGGAATGGGCTTTGTCTACCACGGTGTGGGCTGGGGCAGCAAGGAAATCCTGATAGTAACAAGGCTAGAGAAGTTGGGCCAGTTGGAAGGTTATCAAGTTTATCAGAAGCTCATGACAAGGAACCCAGTTGCAGTCTAAGAAGGAATAAAAAAGGGAAACAGAGGATCAAATGTATTAACAAATACAATCCGAATTTACTACTACGAAGGTCAGCCGATTCAAGGAGAAGACACGGGAGCAGAGGTGCGGCATCAAGCTCGGCACGGCCCAAGGCAGCGGATTGGCGAGCAGCAGTGGTGGGATCGTCCTTAAATGCATCTATAGAGGGTGGCATGGACAGAGGGAGGATCGTACTCAATGAGGCTGAAGCAACTCTGAAATTGGGGGAATTTCTTGGGATGAAGCTAAATGGGGAAAGGGCTGAAGTAGTGGAGAAAATAATGGACCTTGAGTTGAAGGATATGGACCGAAATGCAGGGGGGATGGGAGTTGGGGAGTAGGTGTACCAGCTGGGGGGAATTCGGTGAAGTAGTGATATTGTAATGAAGATTCTCTCATGGAATGTTAGGGGGTTGGGGAGGAAGGAAAAGAGAAGCAAAATTAAGAAGATTGTGAGGGAGAGACAAGTAGATATTGCCCTGTTTCAAGAGACAAAGAAAGCAGAGTTATCTGAGGAAGACGTCAGATCAGTTTGGGCAAAGGAAAAAATGGAGTTTATGGGGGTGGATGCTGAAGGCTCTGCAGGGGGTTTGCTGTGTATCTGGGATCCTGATATATTCCAAATTAAGGAGTGTTGCAGTAACAGAAGGTTCATATTGTTATCAGGTACTGTCCTTAACCATTTTCATTGTGCTATTTTGAACATTTATGCTCCTAATGATGTGGGACCTAGAGGGAATCTGTGGCAGAGTTTGTTGAAGCTGAAAGAGGAATTTCTGAACCCATGGTGTTTAGGAGGGGATTTTAATGAGATTAGACAGATTGGGGAAAGAAAAGGGTGTTCGAGGAGAGATAGAGGAATGAAAGATTTTAATGAATTTATTGACAAGTGTGAGGTATCTGAATTACCATTACTTGGGAGGAGGTTCACTTGGTGCAATTCTAGTCTTGGTGAGAAATGAAGCAGAATAGATAGAATTTTTGTAGACCCAAAGTGGATTGAGGTATTTAATTTTAAGCTGTGGGGTCTCCCTAGACTGCTCTCTGATCACTGTCCACTGCTGTTGATGGAGGATGAGAGAGATTGGGGTCCAAAACCCTTTAGGGTATTAAATGCTTGGTTTTTACACAAAGATTTTCGGAAGTTTTGGGAGTTGAGTTGGAGAGAGCCTGGTGTTGTAGGCTGGGCTGGTTTCATTTTGTCTCAAAAATTGAAGAGATTGAAAGGTAGCCTTAGAAGTTGGAACTTGGAGGTATTTGGCAATGTTCAAAATAAGCTAAAGACAGCAGAGGGTGAACTCCATAATTTTGATATCTTGGCTGAAGATAGAGAACTTGATGGTGCCGAAAAAGTTAGGAGAAGTGAAGTCAGAGCTGAGGTGTGGAGGTTGAGTAGGATGGTTGAGTGGTTATGGTTACAAAAGTCAAGACTCACCTGGGCAATGAAAGGGGACAAGAATACAAGATTCTTCCATGTGGTTGCAAAAGGCAGAATTAGTAGAAATGAAATAAACTCTATACTAGATGGGGAGGTGGTGGTGGAAGAACCGGGGCAGGTGAAGTGCAAGGTGTTTGATCATTTTAAAAATCAGTACTCAGAGCAGTGGCCATTAAGACCTGTGTTGGGGGGTTGCTTCTCAACAGTGATAGGCAGGGGGAGGGCTGGATGGTTAGAATCAGATTTTTCAGAAGCAGAAATTAAATCAGCAGTGATGGATTGTGATGGGAATAAGGCTCCGGGACCGGATGGGTTTAATTTGATGTGTTATCAGAAGTTCTGGAAAGTCATGAAGGGTGATGTGGTTCAGTTTGTGAAGGAATTTCAAACCAATGGGAAGTTGGTAAAGGGTATAAATAGTTCATTCATAACCCTTATACCAAAGAAAGAGAATCCAATAGGGCTATCGGATTATAGACCTATTAGTTTGGTGAGTTCTATTTATAAGATATTAGCAAAATTGTTGACTAATAGACTAAAATCTGTATTGCCTCATATCATTAGTGAATCTCAGTCTGCGTTCCTGAGTGGGAGGAACATTTTAGATGGTGTGTTAATAGCTAATGAAGTTGTAGACGGATGGAAGAAAGCCAAGAAGAAGGGGTTACTTATCCAGTTAGATTTCGAGAAGGCCTATGATTCAGTTAATTGGAGTTTTCTTTTCTCAATGTTATCTAATTTTGGGTTTGGAGCGAAGTGGATTAAGTGGATTAAGGAGTGTGTAACAACTGTAAGGCTATCGGTGCTTGTTAATGGATCTCCTACGGAGGAGTTTAGCCCACAAAGAGGCTTGCGACAAGGAGATCCTCTGTCCCCCTTTTTGTTTAATATTGTGGCTGAGGGTCTTCATAAGTTGCTAAGCCGTGCGTCCCAGTTGAATTTAATAAAAGGGGTTAAGGTAGGCCAAGACGGCGTTCTGTTAACGCATCTCCAGTTTGCAGATGATACACTACTGTTTTGTGAAGCTCAGGTAGATGAAGTGAGAAAGTTGAAAAGGGTGCTTAGGTGTTTTGAAATCATGTCAGGACTCAAAATAAACTTCCACAAGAGCGTAGTATGCGGGGTGGGTGTCTCCAAGGAGTTGTTAGATAGCTGTGCTGCAGTGTTGAACTGTAAAACTAAGGCACTACCTCTAAAGTACCTTGGGATGCCATTAGGTGCTAATCCAAGGAAGAAAGCTACATGGAAACCAGTGGTGGATAAAGTCAAAAGCAAGCTAGCTGGTTGGAAGAGAAAGTTGTTGTCATTTGCAGGGCGGTTAACACTTGTCAAATCAGTAACTTCAGCATTGCCAGTGTACTACTTATCTTTGTTCAAGTTGCCTGAAGGAGTAGCTAGGGAGTTGGAGAAGATTCAAGCTACATTTTTATGGGGTGGGTCTGCCTCGGTTAGAAAAATTCATATGGTGAAGTGGGATGACTTGG